AAACAATTAAAAGTGTTAGTGAATCTAAAATATAAGAGTGTGCTTCAGGGTAGTATCTTTCACCCACCTCCGAGTGACAACTGCATCATATAAACTCCAAATGTTATCCAGCACGAGCTGCACAAACAGTGGCTTCTTTCCTTTGGCCTGCAGCAAAGAAGGAGACAAACATTACACATCAGAATGACTGTGAGAGATAAGGAAAGACATGACTGAGCATTTGTTTGCAGTAGAGTTTAATGGTTGTCCCATTAGACCAGAGATTATTTTCCCTAATGCTCTCTTTTTGTCAAATTCAGAAGTTATGTATATGCTGTTTCTCAAGGTGGCTTAAGTCCAGCCTTTCCATCATAAAGGCCTGATTGATGAGTGCTGCTGAGACGGTGGTCCTCTCTGACCATTGAGGTAGTTCCAAAATTCTTCCTTTTCACAAATGCACCTTCTTAGAAAACTCAGAATTTTAGAAATGGATTTGTATCTTTGTCCAGATCTGGGCCTGACCCCAATTCTGTCTGCTGGAGCGCTACATCAATTAGGAGTCTGTCAGGCATTTATCAGAATAAGACAATACAAATGCTTATAAATGATTACTGCTTGTGTTGATTAGCTGATGATGACAGGCCATTCATTGATGTGCTGTCAGAATGGGTGACTCAAGTAGAGGGAGATATATGGGGAAGCTGTGGGAGACATCTTCAGACTTGGGGGTGACAATTTCTCATGTTGCTCTTTTAGGGTTTGTATATTGTTGCACCTTCTGGTCTCCTTGATGCATCAAGTCTACATTCAAATCTGCTGCATAAGACATCAGCTGCTGCCTGAGTTCTGCTTTCACCAGCTTCCAGAAAATGTCTATACTGAAAGACATGTTCTTGAATAAAGAGAAAAAAGCTCCATAGATTTGCCTTTAACACGGTAACTTCAGGTTACATTCAGGATTTCTGGTGCTACGAGGCTCGTTCACTTTTTATCAGGGTAAATCACTGTGGTAACTTTTATTTTCGTTTCAATTAATCTATTTTGTTGTTTGTATCTGTGAGTAAGTGGTGGGCTTTTCTCAGGTCGCGTCATTCTGTATTAAACAGGAAACGTCTTATGAGGATTATTACAATTTACAACTGTTACACATCACAGAGTACTTTAGATTTTTGGCATATCTTCTGGTATAAATAAAGTCTGTCTGATTTTCTCCACAGCGTGGTTCACTTTTCCTAACTCCTTACATCTTCTCTTACACACCTTTCCTTGAACTTGTGACGTATACCATGTGGGTGAAGGAAAAGTGGTTAGGAAATGAGATTATTTGGACTTTCCGAATGCAGCCATTGACATATCCAGGTGATCAATTAGGTTGTTGATTTAAACAGATAGTTCACCCAGGAATAAAAATTCACAAGACCCAACATTCATATTCTCCTTATAACAATGTCATTTACACAGTGTTTTAAGCCAAAATGTTAGGGACTGTAGGACATGCTAATGTGCACTAGCTTAGCAACCGGAGGACTTTTAGGCTTACAAAATGGTGTAAATGACACGGTTTCGAGTCTAATATGAATGCTGGGGCTTGCAGACATTTGGATGTCACCCCACGAGCAGTATGGAGGTATTTTTTTACATTTGAAGAAGTGGGATCTCAAGAGTGCATATTAAGGGGCTGATTATCAGTGTGGTAGACCACCTCCTCTTTAAGTGATAGTTTTCCCATTTCTGCTTTCAAACCATTAGTTTTTCTCTGGCCAACACTCCTGTGCCCTTTTCCAGTATACGTACATTAAGTGTACTGCTGAGTCCTGAATGAAACTGGCTGTCTAGTGCTGTTTTTTTCTGTGATTTTATTAATCAGAGGATTTGGTCACCAGTTACTTCACTTGTATTGGATTCCGCTCTAACACTGTTTACACCTGAGACTGCCAAAGTGTTTTCTGGACTCAAACACTTCACCCACCCCTCCATCGGCATAGTGCTACGTAGATGTGTGAATTTTCTTTTCTGGGTGAACTATCCCTCCAAGGTGATGTTGGAAATAACCTGGCATTTTTCAGAGCCTGAATCCTGAGTGTGGAGACAGCAGTATGTTTGAACATATTTATGCACAACATGGATTAACAATCATGAAGTCCATGTATACTTGAATTCCACTGCTTCAAACCGAGCAGCAGGACCAGTACCAAGACTAAATATGCTGAATTGGAAGCAACTAGAAGATTGTTGCTACAGCTACCTCACATGCACCTCTCAATTTCCACACTGTGTTTAGACTCATAGATGATAAATAAATTATTTGTGTTAGGCCTACGTTTTTTTCCACACAGAAAACTGATCGGGAATCACTAAGGGAACCAATAAGGAATCAAACCAACCAAAGTCGTATCAGTATATAAAATCTTAACAATTCACATTGTTAGTCATAGGAGAAAAGACAAAACATTAAAAACATACATTAGGAATATCTTCAATTATAGTTACTTTACCTGAGCTCCTTTCATGATCTTTTTTGCTTTTGCATTGAGGTAGAAATCTCCCCACAGGGTTTTGAGCAGCACTGCTGCTTTAATGCCCATTTTCTGGCTGTAGATATGGGCAAACTGCTGGATGCTACAAAACACAAAATCATACTCTTAATGGTCCATTTACACTTTATATGCATGTTCACAAACAAAAAAGCTCTAATCTTTATTACAACACATTGTAAGAAGATTCTGCCCCTGGAACTGCACTGGTTTATTTATAGCAGATAATGATCACAAGGGCATGGCAACCCTCAGCACTAGGTCTTCATGTTCTCACTGTCATACACCAAACTCCCAGGGCAGCACAATGACTTTCTGACACCGTTTGGATGTAGAATTTGAAGTGACCTTACTAATCTGCCAGTTACAAGTAATGAAAGGTTTCACTAAAAATGTTTAATTTCAAAGTCCATTACTGTACAAAAGAAGGGGAGCTTGTAAGGGATGAAACAGGTTGGAGTTTAGTCTGGTGGTTCTATAATCATGTCCATGGCCACAGGTATTCAATGTAATCTGACAGTGCCGTATAGTGGACATGATGATTTTTCTTATTCTATCACTCTTTAGTTTGTGTACCTGTCACTCATGCACCCCATTATCAGCAGAATGAATTCTATGGCAAATGCAGACCCAGCCCACCCCAGGTTTTATGTGTGTCCTTTATCTCAGGTTCAGCTCTTTCTCTCACATTTGAACATGAATGTACACAATAATCATAATATGCACTGAAATTATGAAAAAGTGTTTAAAAGCTCTATTTACTCTTCTATTTTTGAATTCTGATTTGCGGTTTTTTACAACTTGAAAATCAAACACAGATACTCTGATCTAGATTCCTGAGCAGTTCAATCATTGGTGAAAATGAGCCATTTTCTTTCTATTATTTTCCTTTGAATGATTAGACAAATAAACTCAGCAACCCTAACGTATCAGTGGAACTCATGACCAAACAATGTCATCATTGGAGGTTTAGAAGAAACTAGTCACACCTGAAGCCCCATCCATCTATGGCGCTGGCAAACACCACATTCCCTTGGTCAGGAGAGAAGTAGAGTTGGGAGTCATCCGCCTCCTCCAGCCCAGCGCTCCAGTCGTGAACATGCTCACCACATGCCATATTCCTTTCTTTCTCTTTCTCCTCCTCTTTCTCTGCTCGCTCCTCCAACACTTTGGATGTGAACAAACCACCTGTCACTGCGTTCACCTACAGGAAAGAACCCAGACATGCAACTGAGAAAAACCTCCTTTCATTCATTAATATACACATTTAAAATATTTGTTTCAGATAATAGTTAGAGTCAAGAATAATTTTACTCAAGGGTAACTTTGCATTGCAACATTGTGGCTGAAGTGCTAGAGGATTTGTTATGGAATACACTGAGTGTGGCTTGTATCAGGTGAGAACTGAAGCCCGCACCTGTTCCAGAATCTTCTGCAGGTGGGTGTAGGCTTCCTGAGAACTGAGCTTCAGCTCCATGATGAGTCTATCGATCTTATTGATGACTAGAACAGGCCGGATGTTCTCCAGCCATGCTTGACGCAATACAGCTTGGGTCTACACACAATAAACACAGACAAACAGCAACAAATTGTCATTTCACAGCAAAGCAATTTTAAACACTGTGGCATGAATATGATAGAAGAAAATCTACTAAACAATACATTCAGTAACCTTTCACTCTTTATCGTGACATAGCTTTTATATTAAATGCAAATTTCAAAGTACATTGCCACCAGGGTTTCCCGCAGCGCTTTATAGTTAAGGCGGCCGCCTTGACAACAACGGCCCCCTGCCTTGACTACGTCCCCCTGAAAATAAATAAATAAATAAATATTCAATAGGTTAAAATAAGGCCGCATCGCAATGAGGCGGAATAGCCTAATTAAATATGTTAAGCCATCTATCATCTGCTGTAACTGCGTGGCAAGGCCAACATTTCTTCTTTTTTTTTTTATTTATCGGGAAAGAAGCTAAATCTGACAACCGGACAGCATGCCTGTTGTCGTCGTGAGAACTACAGTGCCACGCTCCTTCCCCCCAGTCCAACAGGCACCAGAGCCATGCAAACACGGTACCTGACCGGAGCCTCGGGGAAGTGGCACTGTAGTCTGTAGTCAATTTACACTCAATAGCCCATATCTCAAAGTGAAAACATATTTTAAAGAAGTTTTAGAAAATGTTTTCAAAATCAAAAATGTTTAATGTCTTCTTGACAAAAAAATGTTTTTGGCCCCTTTGCTGTGGCTCCAAACTGTTATCAGACGACTCCTGTTTATTCCAGGTCTCTTTCACATGTGTCTGAACTTGACTTAAGTTCACCTGTGCCAAACTGAATTTGATTTTAGAAAGGCGCATCTCAATTAGAGGTCATTGTGACTTTGACCTCTGACCTCCAGGCACCAAAATCTTATCAGTTCATCTTTGAGGTCAAGTTCAAGTTTGTACCAAATTTAAAGACACTCCCTCAAGCTAATCTTAAGAAGCCATGTTCAAGAAAACTATAAACATACTGAGCTGACCAGTCTTCCTGTCACTGCTGCTGCTCAGTAAGTGTATGAAGCTCGCACACTTAACCAAGAAGACTGGAAGCTGTAAGTACTTCCAAAGGGACTCACTGAACTAATATTTGATTTAAGTTTTTGATTTGCAAAATTTTCAAAACCCACGTTTTCCAAAATAAGTGATTGAGTGCAGATAGATGGGCTTAATGGTAATTGTGTCTTTATAAAAATAAATATAAAGAATATAGTTTGCAAAAAAGCAAAGGAGTCTGAATACTTTCTAGAGCCACTACAAATACCAATCAAATCCAAAAAACTCAAATACAGAGACATAACTAAACATTAAGAGTTTGTATACAGGAAAGACTGTGGATGCAGTGATGTCAAATCCCTGCCTTTATCTACAGAATGAGTAAGTGAGTGGACAGAGAGACCTACCTGTGGACACACGCCCTCTACAGCATCAACAACTACAATGGCACCATCACACAACCTGACAGCAGTGGACACCTCCGAGGAAAAGTCCACGTGACCCGGAGAGTCGATCAGATTTAGTAAGAACTCCTGATCTCCTGAGGAGACGAGAGGGACACAGACAATCAGACAAACTGATTCGTCAACTTTTCATTTGAAACTGAGTTCAGTAACAGTGAAGCTCAGATGAAGCAAACAAATATTTCCATTAGTTTTTATTTTCAAACTTTAACATTATAAAAATCCTCAAGAATCAGTAGCATGTATGCCAATTTACTACACAATAACATTCAAACTATGTGGGCTAACTGTTGTAACACTTCACATGAAAACATAGGTGTTCCATGATTCACTCAGTCTGCATAAATATCAGGTGTCAGCAGATCCACGCTGGCAGGGAAAGTGTTTATAGTGAAGTGATCACATTGCTGAAGTTTGTTTCATTTTGTTATTCGTATTCTGCGCGTGCTGTTGCATTGTGCCTTATGTTTTTGAGAATTTAATTTCAAAAAAGGAGTTTAATTACAGCAAATGGTCTCAGAATTAGTCCAGGAGTGGAGGTAATGTGGCACCTAACAGTTAGACATTGTCAGTGTGGCTTTTACTTAAGAACTGATCAAAGTGGCCTTACCATGACTGTAGTGCAGAGAGATGGCACTGGACTTCATTGTGATTCCTCTGACCTGTTCATCCTCTCTGCTGTCCAGATACCTGAGCTGGTGGAGCAACACATCACAGACAAGCACAAGTGAAGGCAGGAACTGGAACCCTGCACAACATGGGACGGTCTTGGAGCATAACTTTGAAAATTATCTTTGTAGCAATGAAGTCACAAACCTTCCCAGCCAGTCGACTGGATATGATGCCATTACTTGCTATTAAGCAGTCAGCAAGAGTAGTTTTGCCTGCAAAGACAAAGATGGTTCAAAATAACATTAGTAATGTACTTGCAGCATAAACTTCACATTGGGCTCTGGGGAAATGGTCATGAGATAATGTCATGTGCTACTCTAACACATTTAACATTTTCTGACATGTTTTATAATAATCCACTCTGTTCTACTTTTAAACTAAATTGACATGGATGAAATTGTAAAGATGTCAATTATGTATAAGCTCTCCGAATAGTGACAGCAAAAGAATTTGGCGGTAGAGCACAGTTTCAATGACTTAATGAAATAAAACAAATGCAGTGTTTACTCAAACCCTGAATACTAAAGTTTTCATTTAACCTGAATGAACGGTGACACGTGATGTCACTACTGCAGATAAGCTAGTGAAAGTAAACATGACTCCATTTCCCATGACATCTGGCTCAGTAAAGAATAGTTCACACTCGTTGTTGTGGCAACAAGTGTTGAATGTGTCGACGCATGAGAGCTCACCGTGGTCGACATGAGCCAGGATGCACAGGTTTCTGATGTTAGCCGGGTTCCTCTGCAGTGCGATGATCTTCTCCAGGCTGGTGTGGCCCATGATGACACTTACCGTGCGAACGCAACCCGCTTTAACCCGCTAATCCCCTGGAGATAGTGTAGCCTGCTACCACCGATGGCTGGAGCGGTCTACAGTTCGCGAAGCTGTGCTACAGGACAGACTCTGCTAACTGCGAGCTATCGTCGGGCAGCTTCGTGACGAACCGCACAATGAAGACAGCAGTGGGACCAAGGATGAGAGCGAAGCCCTGCCAGTCGTTCGTGCGACGCGAGCGGTGACATGTGCTAACACTGAGGCTAACACTGAGGCTAACAGCCCGCGGACCGAGGCCACCGTCGCTTCCTCCGTCTCCACAGCCGCTCACCACCACGCACTGCTCTGCTGAGTCCACTCCGACACACGGTGCTCTGACAGGAGGCTCCCCGCTGAACACATGTGTCCAGACCTTGTTTCCCGGAAGTCGATCAGACACATTAACCACGCCCACTCGCTAACATTGGCGCTGCATTCAGGAAGCATTGGTAAACACGAGCGTTTTCTGAGAATTCCCAATGACCTCTGTATTTTAACTTAGGCTGCTCGGTTACTTATACCACATTCATTATTACTTGAACATAATGCAACTTAACATTCAGTTACCAGAATGCCACACATAGCGAATTCAATAAACAATGGTTTGAGAGAGACTGTCTGCTAATAACACTGTGCACCGTTCTGGGGGCATGTTATAGTGCAGAGTCCCTGGTGTCCCCAAAGATTATATAGTTTAATCCTGTGTGCAGAAGTTATTATCTTGTGGAAACGAGATATGTATTGTTCCAAGATGTGAGTGTTTTAATCACTCAGATGCACACAGCCACCAGCTTTAGACCTGACCTCAGGTGCGATACAGGCAACATGTCAATGATCCACGAGGTGGACTATTTCCCCATAATTTGACTGCAGGATATCTCTGCTAACATGTGTCAGTCTCTTTCCCTTAATGCTAGATTATTTAACGCTGTAAGAAAATATCCAGTGTCAGTACATAGTCCTCACATCTGGATCACAGTCAAGTCAGTCCATTAAACCACTGTCCAGACCTCAGACAAACTCCTGCTCTGTCTGTAATGTGGGAAAATATCACTTCAGTACTTGGCCAACAGATGAGGCTGCTGAGCAGATCCAAACATTACAGCAAATCCACAGCCCAGTACAGAAATGCAAACACAGCTGAATGATTTTTTATTGTGATCAAAAAGATGCTGACACATCTGCTGCTCCTGCTAAAATTCAAATATCTCCATCACTGTTGCAGAACTTTTAAAGATCTCTAATAGAATAATATATTTTCTATGTAATTGCTAAAAAATGCAAATATTATTGATACTAATGCAGGAAATAAATGTTCCATACAAACTTTTTTTGATGTATTTTAAGTTTTTATAATATAATATAATAATATTTTACAATATAATAGATGTTTAGGAGTGTCCAACCCTCCCTAACATAGTACCTCACTCAATGTTCTATCTTACTCATCAGACCACTGTATAACTGTGCACTCTTTTCCTCTTGTGACTTGACTCAGGTACTTGGTATTACATAACGAACGTACCTTCTAATACATGTTTTAACACATGCACCAGTTAATAGATTAACATTATTCATTTAAATAATCAATTTGGTGGAAAACGGTTAACAATTTACCAATGGGGCTTTTGTTGGATTAGAAAACTCTTCAGATATTTGTGGTTGTTATACTGGCATATAATGAAAACCCTGTGCTGCAGTGGTTAGCACTGTTGCGGGTATTCCTCCCACACTCAAACACATGCAGGTTGAAGTGAAGAGGAGAGTTGGTTGTTTGTCTCTTTATGTCAGCTTCGGTTTGCTGGTGGTCCAGGGTGTCACCCAGTGTCTCTAGTCCCCCTGTCATCCCCAAAGGCTAGTTGTGGCTGGACGGATGAACGGATGTATAAACTGAAACTTCTAGCCTGTGAATATGCATTAATATTAAATGTATGTAAGTTTATTCTTGAACTTGGAATCAGTAGTTTGAAAAAGAAAAAATCCATACTCAAAGTCCACTAACTACTGGAGAAGCCAGAAGACCTCAAATTAATTTTCTTTTCTGTCAAACTAATTTAGGGTTAGGGTTAGTTTAGTTTTCAACACATTCAACCCAAGCTTTTGATTTGCATGTTGGGTGATGACTCTTAATGTTCCAAATGAGAAAATAAATCCACATTTATAAAGTGATCAAAAGTGTCTTTAATTCTTTCCATTGTTATCTAAAGCACTGTAATGATTTATGGTATTACCTCATGTTACCTCAGCAAATCCACAAGCAGGATAATGTGACCATATCAGAACTTGCACTGTCAACACCAGCCAGGAAGAAACGCTGGAGAACATATGTTACTGAACAGCATTTCACAATGCAGATATTAAAAACTAGAGATTGAGCTTGTACACATGCAAATGAAACCAGGTGTTAGCAAACATACCACCCATTCAAAATATATACGTGCTTGATCTTCTAAGATCTAAAACAGGAGTTAAAAAACACAATCATGAATAAGTACGAAAATAAGTCTCACACAATCTACATCGCTCGATATACAATATTGCACTTAGAACACAGTATATACAAGACATTTTACAATGCAGCACATCAGTATAATAACCAGCACAAAGGTAACAGACCAACAGACCAGTCCAAATCAATGCTGTGCTGGTGCGTCTCGCTCCAGAGTCTGTTTCACCTCAATGAGTCCACTTTTCTTCTCTTGTGATACTGAAGTTATTTTACAAACGGTCTGTACTGTCAGCGCTGAGAGTCATAGTTTTGGTGAATATGAAGTGAATATGAATTCATGCTTTCACAACTGAAACTCCAGCACGTCTCTGATTAGTGTCTCACAACAATCACACCCATCGCTCAAGTGAATGGTCTTTCAGGACATATTCTAAATTCTCTTTTACATACATGACTGGACATTGCAGACATTCAACAAGACTTCCACTGCTTCATTGTGTGAATGTAGGGGTTTCACTAGGCCAGTACTTCCAGGAACTCTGTTCACACTTTAAATCATCTGACGATTCGTCTGCCCTTAACCCAACCATCTCTACTCGGATGTCCAATCCCAACCAGGTTTGCCTTGGATGCTCCATTGTCTCCTGGATTCTCCTCCCCACTCTCTAATCCCCTGCCACTCCATTTCTACAAAAATATAAACACAACGACCTCTCCAAAAAGTGTCAGCACAAACAATTAAAAAACATTGACACTAAAAAAGCAAAAGAATCATTCACCATCAACTTTTGGGTTTGATTTTACAGATATATGGTTTGACATTGTATTTTAGACTGAAGTAATCAATATCTGAGATGTTTTTGTGTCAGTGTCTGTAATTGCAGAACAACTGTTAACTGGTCAGAATTGAAAAGCCTTTGAAACAGCAGCTAAAATACACAGGACTCAGAGTAAATGCATTCTCTTAGGGTCAGCAGCTCTTAAAAGTAAGGTGGAATCACTCTACCTATCTAATGGTCTGGAAAGTCCTGCAGGGGTAGGTTAAAGCAGGGGTTTTCAAAGTTTGAGACTCACCTCAGACAAAGCCTTCCTGTGTTTCTTGTCAGACTTGGTTGCAACAATATTGTTCCCAGATCTCTGTAGTTTCTTCACTGAGTTAAAGAGAATGACCAAACTATAAAAAAAGTATCCATTTGCAATAAACCAGAATTCCCCTTTAACATTTTATATTCATAATTTCATAAACATTCTTGAACAATTGCACAAATAAATAGTTTGAAGGAAGAAATGAAACTGCAAGTTTTCTGGGCTTTTTTATGTACCTGCTGATATGATGACCCTCACATATCAGCAGTGGCTGACACAACTTGTGATTGTGGCAATATTGGCAAAGCAATACATCAGTCAGAGAGCAGACTGACACAATGAGAGCAGTGATACATGTTATACAATGCACATTATATTCCTTTTTGGCCTAGCCATATTTTTACAGTGTCACAGGCAATAAAATGTTCTGTTTTTGCAGGAAAGTCCAAAATGGTCCATTTGATCCACATAATGAACACTTGTCTCAGTAAGAGGTTGGGTCCAGATCAAAAACTAAACCCCCTTGTCAGGTCTTTTGAGGCTTCATTCAGTTTCCTTTTAGGAAGTGAGTGAACTGAACTAAGGCTTGTCCCGTTTACATAAAGTATGTGCTGTGTACTTGAAGCATCCCCTCACAGACAATGTCCTTCCAAGCTTTGCTGTGTGGTTATAACTGGTTACTGCCACTAGGTGGAGTCAGAGTCCTGTGAACATGACCCACAGCATCTATGTTTGTACATGTCCAGGTCACACAGCTTTAGTCTCTTCACCACGCTGCAGTACTGGGTTGTGTCCTGGCATTCACCTGCATGGAAATAAAACACTGAATGTACTCACTAAAGAACAACAAAAACACGTCAACACATAGTTCGGACAGTTTGTCATTCATCATGGTGACAGAAACTGATATAAAACTGTGTTTTCTTTAGATGTTAGAAGCTGGGCAGATGTTGAGGTTGTTAGATCGATAAAAAAATGAGTTACACTTAGGTTGACCCCAACATGAAGTGATGCAGAAAAACATTCAGATGTTTATTTATTCATTGAATTAACCTGTTAATCACCTGCTGTGGTAGCTCTGTTAACCATAAAATCAATTTCAAGAATTTGTCATTATCATGTTAAGGTGGTGACTGTTTTTGATGAAATCCATTACTGAATAGTCCATTGGTACAATTATTATCAAGTTGTTAGTATATATTTCATTTAGAATAGTAACATACTACCACTGTCCATGTGTTTTATCTAAATCTTTAACTTGAGGAGCAATCTTAGTTGGGGGCCTCAGGAAATGTCCTACCTTGCCTAATCGAATCCGGTCTTGGCTATAGGAAGAATAGAGATCTTTAGTACACTTCCAATTAACTTAAATGAAATTCTGCATCAGTCAGTGCATACCATTGCTTAACATATAAAAATGTTACTTTTGTCTTTTTGTGAATTTGCTTAAATGAGCATTTACTTGTATTTAAATTGATTTCTTCAAAGGAAACTCAACCACAACTGATATACATTTCTTTATTATAATTTCATTAAAAAATAGATCTAAATCTCTGAACTTACAAGTAAAGGTGCATCAACACTGCTGACTGTTTGAACATACACACACACAACCAAACAAATGCACACACACTTACTCCCACAGGAGGAGGTGTTGCAGTGCTGCCAGGTGGAGGGCCGCTGGAGCCAGGCGCAGTGCTGGACAGCCAACGTCCTGCTACTCCTGCGGTGAACACAGTCCACCCTGCGTGATTGAAAGCCACTCCCACAGACTACAGTGCACGCCCGCCATGCACCAGGATGCCATTGGACATCACACAGGTCTGAGGAACAGTTACGAACTGAAACAGGCCTGAAAGAGAAAAGTTTT